GAACAGAGTCTATGGGAAATTTAAAGAACAGAAGTGAATAATGAGAAAATTATTATTAAAAATGAAACTTTTTTTACATAACACAAAATGAAAACAGAATATAGAAGGTGGAGAATGAGGTTTTGAAGAGCCATGCAAGTACTTTGATGGACCAGACCGACAGGGGGCGCGAATGTAACTGAATTAGAAGGAAAGCTTGTTCGGAGGAAGAAGTCCATTAATCACATGGTTATTTAATCGTATTTAAAAGTGTATATGTATGTGTGTATGCATGTGCATTCATATACATATATGTGTTTATCAGTGTGTGTGTAAATTTGCGCACTCATACACACCGTATGTGTATTATTAAACTCCCTCTGAATATCATTGATGACTACACTCCAGTCCGGTAGGTAGCGGTAAATGCACCTTAAGCTGGTTGCCATCCGCCAATAAAACACAAAAGAAGGAGAAGTCCATCAGTCTTTACTGACTGACAACCGTACATTGAAGGAGAAATGGCTGCAAGGTTACTGCTCCGCTCCGGGCTGAGAGCCGTGACAACCTGCCAGGCTGTCCGGGCTCCGGCTCTGAGCCGCAGCATGGCGGCTGGAGGTGAGGCCGACACGGACACACAACCATCCAGATAACATACTGAAGTGTTAGCTAGGCTAGTCCGTCTGACCGCGGAACGCTTTCTCTTCCAAGTTCTGCCAGGAAACGTTCGGTTCTTGTCGTAAAAATCCGCTAAATCTCTTAGGTTGTAATAAGTTCATTTTCTGCTTGTCGGCGTTCAGCTGCTTTTGAATATCCAGATGTTCTTAAACGAAGCTAGGGGCTAACCTGCTGCTTAGCACTAGCCTAACAGTGACAGCAAAGAGGTCAGATTGGGTTTAGATAACTGAGGGTCGGTGGTTCTGTCAGTCATCTGCTTTACATTTGTTTCTATTCAGAGCTGCTACCTTCATGACCCAATCCCATCTCTCAGGAAAGTGATTGCTCGGGTCTTATCGTGGGCGTTTTTATCGCCGTTATAAACATAATAGTTTGGATTTGACTCATAGTTTCTTGTAATTTATTCATAGTTCTGTGAAATTACGAGTGAGCGGTTCTATGGTACATCCTGAGTTTCCTCTGTCATGTTGGTGCTCCCAGGCATTCCCACTGATGAGGAGCAGGCCACTGGGCTGGAGAAGGTCATCATGAACGCCATGAAGGAGGGAAAGGTAACATCACATTACATCATGTAGTTATGCTTTACACTTAGATGAAACTGTATTCTGTGAAATAAGTGCTTAGACTTTCCTTTTAAGGGATAGATGTTTATCCCACCTCCTTATTTTTCAGGTTTTGTACTAAAGAAAAAGCCTCTTAAATTGATCATTCATTAGTTGTGAAGATTATTATTAAGTTTATTTGATAAGACACACATCGACATAGACAATCTGAACAGAAAGCAGTCCCATGGTGTAATAGCAACAGCTAATTTGCAGCACTTGTCCCTAGATGGGCTTTTAAACAGTACCTCTAAAAAAATTGAAGTGATAATTAAAACAGCTCAAGTTTTATTTTGATCCTAAGTGAGATCACTTCCTGGGTTAGCATTGCCAGGAAGTGGCAGTTAATCAAAGTTGATTAAAAGTTGAGTTTATAATCGTAGATGATAGTGATTATTAATTATATGCTCGGATCATAGCCAGTATATATGCTCGGATCATAGCCAGTATCACACCATGACTGAGAGAACAGCAGCTGTAACGCAGTGTCTTACCTTTTTATGTTTGGTTCTTGTGTTCAAACTTTTCTCCGTTCAGCACAGAGCTGCGTCCAGCCTGACCCGGTGGAGCGTTGGTGTGGCACTGACCAGCTGCTAACGCTCAGGGCTGTTCAAGCTGAAAATTTCCAGATTCCTGTCGTGCTGAGCAATATGGTGGAAAATTTATCACGATATAAGGATTTCGTATCGGTCAATACCAATAATTATTGATTGTATTTTTGTTTTAAATACCTGAAACACAGCCAAGCTAGTGACGTCACTTCCTATTTTATCCACAGTTTTCTTTCCACTCCGCTGTTCTTTATGTTTCAACAGTCATGAGGCTCGCTGATGAAACCTGAAACTGCTGCTGTGCAGGTTGTGCAACATGTTGTTGCTAGGTAACCAAAGAGTGAGTTAGCTGATGCCACTCACCAAGAGAGGTTGAGCAGCTAAAGTCTTTCCTCTGCCTACATCCCCCAGAATGCTGAGCGATTCGGGATCAGAGTTCCATATCTAGTGACATGGATCAGCTCTCTGTTGTAATTTATTATTCATTTATTATCTAGCCTCAGATTCCAGCTGTCAGCTTATTTCTCAGTGCATTGTTTCCATGGCACTACTTGCTCTCATCTTAATTAGATCATCCATTACTAAGGAAACCTCTGTTTGTTGATATGTTTGTTGTCAGAGGCTGTTTCAGAATCAGCCAACACAGAACCCTGATCCCAGCTGAGACCAAGCTCCTGGATGGCAGGACCGTTAGACCTACCACCATCATCATCATCATCATCATCATCATCATCATCATCATCATCATCATCATCATCATCATCATCTTCCTCTTTTCTTTGCAGGATCCTTTCAACATGATGAAGCCTAAGAGCTACGCTGGCTCCAAGAATGACCCCCACCTGGTTCCCTCCATCACTAACAAGAGGGTTGTGGGCTGCATCTGTAAGTCACAATGACAGAATTATTAAATACATTTCTAACATGACAGAAACGAAGCCAGCTCTATAAAAACACAGTTCAGCTGTTAAGCAGCCTCAGCTTCCAGACTTCTGGCTCATGTTTTTATTTTCTCTGTGCAGGTGAGGAAGACAACACCTCCATCGTCTGGTTCTGGCTTCATGAGGGCGAGTCCCAGCGCTGCCCCTCCTGTGGTGCCCACTACAAACTGGTGCCCCATAACCTCTCCCACTAACTTAAAACTAAGTCTTTTAGTAAATGTATTTACCAATTTGGCTTCTCTTTGAAATATTCATGTTATCTCCAGACCAAGAAAACTCAGAGTGTTTTAAGTTTTCACTGTGCTTGAAGACGCTGTCTTTTTGTTGTTTGGGCTTGGTGTATTTCCTGGTCTGATGTTTATTTTGTCTTTTTTTGCACTTGATCTACCTTTTAACCTCAATTTTGGCTTCACACGTTACATTTCCAAACAGCTCAGATTTGTTTTGGGACCTTCAGCTTCAGTTTACATTGACTGTACTGTATGATGTTACATTTGTACCACTCCTATTGTTCAGTCAATAAAGTGCTGAACTCATATTTGTTATTTGTGTGTGTGTGTGTATGTGTGTGTCCAAAGATGAGTTTGTCTGCTTCAGGATGAGCTCTGCTCAGATTTTTATTTTTAAATCAGATTGAAGACAATAGTTGCGTTTCCATTTACCATAAAATTGCGCAATTTGACATTTTGAAAATAAAACTTCTGAATTATAACATGGCAATTTTGCACCAAAAGTTTTGGCGCTAGAATAAATTGGTTTATTTCGCAAAACTGCAATGGAAACTTTTTTTTTTCGCATCACAAGTCAAAACAACTGGATGTTACTACTGGTGAAAACCACAAAGAAGAAAACGGGAAGTAGAGGATCAGCTTGTTTTTTAATGACTTGTCATGTGGACAAACTAGCTACTGATGCATTTTCCTCTGGATTTCGTTGGTTCTGAATGAAACCAGTGACTGTTGGACACTAAAGTTCTGAATCAACTAAGTTCTCATTAAAACTACAAAAAGCTTAACCTGAACTAAAGTTATAGTCTACATTTTCTTTCTTCTGTCTGATACTCTGACCCAGGATCAGCTGTGAAAGTAGGAGTAAAATGTGCTTCTAAATATCGAGTTGAAGCAGAGGAAGACTCAAGTCAGCAGTTTTTCAAAGGGCAGCTGTTGGTATGACCATGGTTCCAGTAAACGCCCTGAAGAATCACATGCTGGTCATACAGAACTTCAATGGAACATAATAGAACATAATTTTTAAGATCCATAATCTTTATGGATTATAAATGGATTATATAGTATTATATATATTGTTCTTGCTGGTAATATTTTTTGGACTGGTCAAATGAACTGAGCATGTCATTTTAATCAAATCACTGAAGATTTCACGTTCGGTGTGTTTGTGTTGTTCTTCAGTCTACCAGCAGATAGCGCTGTCTACCAAAACTTTTTGCCTTTACTCGTATGCCAGTGGAAAGTTTGGACAGTTTCTCATCCAAACTTTAAATAACCTTTGAATTTAACTCAGTGCTTCAAATCTGAAGTAAATGTTTTTATTATAGAAAATGTTTGTAATCATCATGGATTATTCGGTTTTCAGTGCTTCTGCTCACCATGGCAGCACTCTGTGTCTGTTGTCACATCTGAATTGACTATTGTATTATATTTTATGCCCACTGGTGAGTCATCCTGTTAACTGTTAAGATCTGATGTCTTATTTGCAACACAAGCACTGCCAATTCCATTTCGTTCCGCATTGCTCACCAGGTTGTGATCTGGTCAGCAGCTGGTGTAGCTGCTATATTAACATTTGAGTTCACTGAGATATGAGGTAGCATATAAGCCATGTCCACCTCATAATCATATTCAGGATATGGACTCAGGGTGTGGTCTTAAACATCTGTGCCAAGTTTGGTGTAAATCTGTCAAGTGGTTATCCAGACATAAACTTTCTGACCTTCACTAAAACTAAAACTGCATAAAAGGGGCAACATGTCATCCTCTGTTACGATCTGAGTGTTTGTTCTGCAATCATGAAAGGTTGTGATCACCAAAAGAGTCACTGTTTTGTTGCTTGAACAGTTTTTTTTAATTTCCTTTTTTTTCTATATTGTTTAGTCCATAGGTGAGATGTAATCAAAATTGGGTTTTGTCTTTATTGTGTCATAGCCAAAAATATATAGTTAGGTGGAAGTGGGCGTGGCCAGAGTAAAAGTGATGGAGAATCTCCCAAGGGTTTTAGGGGAGGGTCTATGGTTTGAGTTAAAAACTCAAATTCACTATCCTGCGCAACAGCGCCCCCTATGTATGGAGGGGTACGGATTTTTTTTTCTTAGTAGAAGATAAGGCAGTTTTCTATCAGTTTTCTATCAATACTTATTTTCCTTACTATAAATAAAACACAACATGCAGAGAGAAAAAAAGCCCACCACAAACTGCTCATTCATGAGAGCATGATCAAAGAAATCTGAAGGATAGAGCAGCAGAGGGTCCAGGAATCCTCAGGCTGACCGTCACGTACAACCATATGAACCACGAAGACATGAACTCAGTGCCACACATAATCTAAAGTCAGTGCAGAATGGTGGAAAAGAACAGAAACAGAATCAAGTGAAGCATTAAACATGTTTTCAGGCACCTAAAATCTAACCTGGACATTGTCAGACAAATTGTTGAGAAATTCAAACCTAAGCTTTCGATTGCTTCTGGCTTTACGTGACCCTGGAGCTCTGAAACGTCTGTGAACCTCCCGATATTCCTCACAGACATTTCATGATGCTCTGTGAAACATGACGTGAATTATCTTTGGAAAAGTGGAGCTACAACAACTCAGCTGGCGCACTCCCTCTCTGCGCACAGGGTTGACTCAAAGTTAACTGGAAGTGTCTGAATACTTGCCACCTCAAAGGAGAGCTCTGCAGAAAAAGACAGAGACCAAAGAGGAGCACTATAACACGCAGAGACATCTGCACAGCTCATTAGGTGGTAGGAAACAGGCTGCAGCAGATTTAGAAGTCAACAGTGGTTAAAGAGACACTGGGGGGGGAGCCAGGCACCAAAAACACCCAAAACCAGAGTGGGCTCCGTGGCTGGACCTAGACTTCTACATGACACATTAAAGTTTTAGCTGGTATTTGTGAGTGTAGAGCTTTACAACGACTTCCCTAAGAATAACACTGGAAAACAATATGGTCACAATTACATATTTACAATTACAATATGTCGCTTAAGTCTTTTTGTCTGTCTTTAAATTGTTCCATTCCAGCTCATTTCTGAAATTCATGATGTGTTGAAAACTATAAACACCAATTGAACTTTTCCACATTTTGTCACATTACAAGAACAAACTTCAATATTTTGGGGGCTGAGGTTAGCTGATAGACCAACATAGTGCTGAAGTGGAGGAGAGGATTGGTTTACACTAAAAGCTTGTATGATGTTCATCTGTATTTGGTACTTCCTGTCACTCAGAGTTAAGTTCCTCCAGCATTCCAGAAGGACTGGCTTAACGGAGGCGTCTGTGGATTTTTGTACAGCTCTCAGTCTCAGGTGTTAGTGTGTCTGAAACTACAGATGCTGCAGCAGTCGTAGCTCTTTGCCGCTGGGTGTTATTGATATCAATTTAATTACGCAGGCTCCTGAAAGGGAAGCAGAGAGTGTCAGTTTAATCATCTCATAAAGTGCCTGGAGAACCTGGAGGATGTGGGCTGCCGTCCATTTGTCGTCTTTGGGGCTCGGCCAGCTGCAGCCACGCTGCTGAGAGGAGCAGCTCTCACAGCCAAACATCTGCACTCATGTGCAGGGCTCAGCTCCAGAGTCACCACAAGCGTCTGGATGATGTTTCAGCCTTTTTATATAAATTTCCCTTGTCACTGTCAATTTTTGAATTCTTGTCGCTTGATCTATTTGGTCTAGACAAATTGTTTCTTCCTTTTCTTTTTGTCTGTTTTTTTTAAAGAATAAAAAAAAACTTTTTGTTCACTTCTACTTTTTGGGTTCCACAGACTTTGGAGTAAACTATGTTTGCTGAATAATGGATTATAATTAAGCTAACTCCAAGATTGTAAAGAACTAAGTTCTACTGTGCATAATCATTTGAAATCAGGTATTTGCATACCATGTGAAAAATGACAGTGTGACTTTAAATCAGACTTAACCTTTGTCTGTTTTGTCAGTTAGGATTACCAAAATAATTTGAAGTGCCAGAATAGTGAGAGAAACACGTTTTACTGTGTGTGATCAGGGGACACTTCCAGTTTATTTTTTTGGCAAAAAAAAAAAATTGTATTACTTTATTTAGTGGCAGATAGTTGAATATAACTGACATCAATGTAGCCAATTATGCCTGGACACCAAAATCTATATCAACAGAATGTGCTTGAAGTCTCAAAATGTGATTCTCACCACATTGTTCCTCTTAGTGATACCTGCATTTCAGTGGAGTTTTTTATTAGTGTTGTGGGTCTGTGACTATAGCCAACCCCACTGACCTGTAAAGCAGGACTGTCCTGGTTTTGGAGCTGCTTATAAATGTCTGAAGAAATTCTAGAGAACAACAGCCAATGATGGCACAAATATAAAGTTGTGCCATCATATGTTGTAAAATGTGCTCCATAATTTCAGCTAATGGTTAAAAAAAAATAGAGTGAACCAAGAACAGGACCCTGAGGTTCCCCGCATGTGATCACATGTGATCGTTTACATGCTTAGATTTGATCACCAAATAGCACACAGTAATCCTGGTAGCAGTATCAGACAATGCCACCGTTTCTCTGTCAAATGCAGCACCGTCAGTAAAACAGTGACTGTAGTTTTAATTAATAGGTTTTAAGGAGTCAAGGCATGAGATGGAAAAACTGACTGAAAACAATTAAGGAGGAAGTTGTTTTGTTCAAAAACAGGAGTAATCAACAGAACAGCAGACCCTCTGACACAGAGTACAGGAGCACAACTAGCTGGACTCAAGTTCTTTAAAAAAAGCACTTCTTATCTGAGAAAACTTCTCCAGGTTTGTTGCAGTTTTGCCTGCTGTAGTTGTATTAGCCCTCATTTTGTGTGTACTAGAAATGTAGCTCTATACTGACTTTGGTCTGGATGTAGTTTGTTTTCCTGAGAATCTTTATGATTTGTCCTGTTTAGGTTAATTTTAACCTTGTATTTGTGTTGAGTCCTTTTCACGTTGCAACTTTTTTTGTCACCCAATGAAAAACAATGGCTCTGTTCAGGGTGCAGCCCTAAGCTACAGTAAATCTTAGGAGTGATAATTTAT